CTTCCCCCCCCCCCCCCCCCCCCCCCCCCCCGACGATACCACAGGTGGGTAGATGTTTCGCGGTGGAACGAGCGCAACAAGCCCAACCAGAGGAAGTCTCACAGGGACCAGATGGAAGAGACACGATCCGCGGTAAAGACCTCGCTGAAGGAGAAGCACCCGTCGCTGCCGGTCGTCTCCATCTCGGGGCTTCCCTTCCACAAGACGGAGGAAGAAGTCATGTGAGTGAGACTTGAGGCGTGACTGCCACCGTAGCAGACCAGGGAAGAGTGCAGGCCGCTTGGGCTGCCACCAAGAGAGTCGATCTCAAAGAAGGCCTACATTCACACGGCGGTTTCATCAGCCATGTCCGCCGGCCCCCAAGTAATCAGCGCAGAATTACGACATATGACAATCTGCTGTTGGAATCCCCCTTCGTGAACACCTGCTATCCAGAGCTCGTACGCAGGTAGTCGTTTTTTCTTTGGGCAAGTCAATGCCAACTTGGCCATGCTGGCGGTAAACAGCTGGTCCGTGCTGTCATGCACGCATGGCCCAGGAGCCGAAACTGTGAAACTAACGCTTCCTTATCCCCCTTTGTGTGTTTGCGTTCTCCTGAAAAATTGGTGGAAATTTCGCCACGTCGATGTGTTTGTTCGTTTTCAGAGAGTTCCTCGAGGCGAGCGGTGTACCCAGGTCTGCGATGTTGGAGGTGGAGATGCCCCTTTTCCTGCAGACCCAGAACAACACGGGAACGTGCTGGGTGGTCATCAGCGATGTGAGTCCTCTGTTGTTGCAATGGATATGCATACTTGATTTTATTGTCGTTTTCACGGCAAGATGTTGCTTTCGGTCGTGTAGCTTTACCATGTGTTGGATCTTGTTCCGCCTGCACAGTCGCGACGTTCGCTTCGCACCCTATCGGCTACCTCTCTGGACTCTAACCCCGAACTTGTGTTTTCTTGCCTGACAAATTTATTCTTGTGAGCATCGAGCTTTGGCTTACGTTTCCTAGACCTGATTTACATATAGACCCAAGTATCTACGACGATGCCGTAGTAGTACCGCAATATGTTGTACCACACATGCCAATACTGCCGAACTGAACCTGTTCTACTGCCCCCCGTATTTCAACCGCTGTCCGTATGTGCTTCGCGCCACTCCCTTTCATCGGTGTTTGGTCGGGACCAAAAAATCTCCCAGGAGGGCGCGTATGAAACCCTCATGGAGTTGAACGGGGCAACTTTGGACGACAGGTGGCTTACCGTCGTGGACGCGTAAGGCGTGACGTGATCTATCACCCAAGAAGGTCGGAAGTAGCAAGCCTATGACGAAGATGTCGCGTTGGATCTCACTTCGAATGGCGTCGCAAGCCTTTGGCCTTGTTTTAGGTGCGCGTGGAGAGAGCAGCGTTCGGTTTGTGCCGTATTTCGGCGGAAGGGGTCAAAGGGAAAGCTTGCGGAGTGCTGGGCCACTTGTGTCACACGGCGGTCTTGAGAGATGGGGTGGTTTGTTTTAGCCCGTGAGCGGGGGTTGAGTCGGGCGACAGTGGCCGTCGTTTTGGGTTGGAACAGATCGACTTAGTCTTTTTTAAGTCTGTTTCGTGAGGTCGTCGCTTCAAAGTAGAGATGGATGTTCGACATGTACGGGTACTCTTTTTCGTAGTGTCTCTCTACGCCTCGCCATGTCTCTTATGCATTATGCATATGTAGGTGACCCTTTTTGTTTTTAGTCACAGGGGACGTGCGTTAACGAGATTCCCCGATAAATAACTTGCGTTGACACGTCGACACGTTTTTTTTCTGACTGGAGGCACATTGCGGCTCGGGGCGACGGTGCTTGGCTGGCTGCACATGCGGTATCGTGTCGAGGCTTGATTGTCTCGAAGATTCTGCGGTGGAGCATAACAGTAGTAGAAGCGGGAAGACCGCGTGCAGAACCTGCTCGGTGATCGATCTGCTTCGTGTAACACTTTCTCGTGTGGACATTTTTGAATCCCTGGTATCCAGAGTTTTGTCGACCAACAGAATTTGCGTGCCACATTTCCTTTTATTCCCCTTCTCTAGAGACAAGAACACCCCCTTAACGGACTCTCTCCGTCCACGTGACGATGACCGACCGCGGTCGACCGATGGAACTCTCACAAGTGATGTCATCCTTGTCGAAGAAACTCATTACACCTTCACACCCAAATGACCGTGGATGACGTCAGTCACTGTCCACGTAATTTCGGCTGGGACGGTTATTCGACCAAAGCTTTTTAGACCATCCAGAACACTGCGTGCCACAATTTTTGTGGCTTGTCTAATCGAAGTGGGTCAGGTTATTTTCACTTGTCCCTGACATAGGCAAGAGAGGCCAGAGCATAGAGCAGGTGACCGCACCCAAAATGACCGCGGCACCTTTCCCGACAAAGCCCTGGTCCCGCCCCGATGTTACCCCGGTTGCACACAGTGGGAAATGGCAAGGGTCTCGAGACACCCTGGGCAGCAGCGCGGGCGGCTACGTTGTGCTCCTCGTGAAGTAGACGAACGGGTACAGTGGCACAGACAAAAAAACACATACATCTCTTTGTGAAGTGTCTTCACCGAAAAACAATTTTATGTGAAGACCTACAACACAACAGTCTGTCAACGACAAGGGAGTGATCGCCCAGAGGACGGCAACTGGAAGGAAGGGTAGCGGGAGACACACATACCGAAGGATTTCTTATGGACATGATGATACAGCAGTACAACGCAATACATTGATCGCTTCCTTGAAGCGGTTCACATCTCGTCGCTGTCCCACCGCCCCTCTCGGCGCACCCACAGCGACTGAGACCGGAGGTAAGACGTGAGCGCCTTAATGAGCTCGTCCAATTCGAGGCTCGCAGTCGACGCCGCCACTCTGGCCCCTCCCTGGAGAGACGTTAAAAACAGCCAAAACATGCCACGGGGGCGACCGGGTGAGAAGGCGTGAGGGTGGGAGGAAAGAGATTTGGCTACCCAAACCACCTAAAGAGTAATCGCGTTACGTTCGGCAGTGTCGATTCAGCCGGAAATGAAACCAAGAGGCGAAGGGATATGTTGTCCGGAGAACGGGGAGAGGGATTCGGTCAAAAAAGCAAGCATCAAATATTGTGTGCACATCAACCAATGTTCGGGTGGTTTTCGTCTCTCGAGAGCGCGGTTGCCGCCACAGCAGCAGCAGCAGCAGCAGCAGCAGCAGCAGCAGCAGCATGCCGTTGTTGCGGATAAAATTCACATTGAGTGCAGCGCGCCCCCGGCAACGCAGCACGACAAGCAGGTTCCAACGAGACCAAGTTTTAGACGACCTCTGACAATGTCGCCCTCTCTCTGTCGCTCTGCTGGTGCTGTCGCTATCCATCACTGTCAAAAGAAGCCTGAATCAGGTGACTATAATAGTGATTACCGTCGTAGCCGGACTGCGCCCGCACTCGCACAACATGAAACCAGATCCTCCACACGAATGCCGCTATATAATTTCGTGTCGTTGCTAACCTCCACGAATGCATCGCCTTGCGCCCCCATGCCGGCTCTGTCCGCCCAGTCCCGTGCTTGTCGCGTGTCTCGGAAGTCTGGCGTGTTTGGAGTTACGTGCGTGCCGTCAAGCCTGGACGAGAGTTGCAAGGGCCGGCGGGGGAGAGAGCGTGGTTGGCACGGACAAGGGTAGATGGTGGGCCCCTCTACGGTGATAGGTGTGGGAACGAACATTAATGGAAAGATGCGGGGGGGAGGTTCGACCCAAACGTTACTCGTGGCCCAACTTGTGATTTCCTCCTGACAGTTGGAATGGATAGGGACAACCAAGCAAACTGGGGGAACCGCGCGGCAGCCTGAAACCACGAAGGAGAAAGCTGCGGGGGACCGTAGCGGCGCTTGCACACAGCGCAGCCTGAAACCAAAACAAATCATAACCCATCGTGGGCGCGATTCTCGCACTGCTCTCCTTCTCCTAGCTACGTCCCGCGTGATGAGCCTGACTCGCCTCGAAAACTCCAGCTCCCCGTCCCTTCCGAAGCGGTTGAAGAGCACCTCGGCGAGCTGCGGGCTCTGGTCTATCGTGTCGCGCTTGAACTGCAGAACAAGGTTGTTCCGCACCGAGTACCGGTCCGTCAGCAGATCCCAGGTTGCCTGACGCCCCCAATGCCACGAGAGGGGTCGTCACAGCAAGGGGACGCGGACACCAAGAGGAAAATGGTGAAGGGGTGCGCTCGTCGTCAGCGCCTTGGTGGAAAAACTTGTCGACGCACAACGTTGCTTGATCTGCGTCTCTGGCTGGCTAAGGTCTTGACCGTGGCTGGTTTCAGCCAACAACCAGCATACATTGCAACATTCGAGGAACAAGCTTGCCAACTACTACAGGAGGACAACCCTCTAAAAACAACCAATAGTGTACTTGTAGGGCGCGTGTCGCCGGGAGGCGAAAGCACGGGGGTGGGGTTGAACAGCAGCAGTAGTACCTCCGGCGAGGGCTTAAACTCCTGGGGTACGTCCGACAGCATGGACCCGACGGCAGAGGCCGCCTTTGGTCCCCACTCTTCTGCCAAGGACAACCCTTGCGACGCAAAACCGTTCACCAACGGGAGCCCGGAGACCCTATCGCACGCAGCAAACGCGCGGGCGCGCGAGAGAGGGAACGCGCAACGGACAAGCAAGGCCAAAGACAAAAAAAATGCAGGTGTTCCTCAGGTCTTGCACGAAAAAATATCGGCAATATTTTCTTGCGGTAGGTGGCTCGTCCTCCAAAATCTAGCCGCTCTAAGATCCCCTTTCTTAAGAATCGCGATGTGCACTCTCAGTTTCCCGGTGAGTTACTGGGTTGCAGCTTGCGGAGCCCCTCGCAACGCTCGCAACGATTGGGGGCACATACGTGGGAAACGCCATGTACGTTGGGGTACCGACGCGGCGAACATCGGGTCTCTGCGTGTGGTGATTCGACTTTGCCGCTACGACGCGTCGGCCGCGAACCCAGAGCGGACCTCGTCACAGCAGTGGCAACATTTGAAACATTGGCACCGACACGAGGGCTTCGTGCATATGCCCAGCCTCGGAGCTTCCCCCACTACCAGACTCCAACAGCGCGGATCGCCGCCCTACTGGTCAAAACTCCCGCGCGGCTTCACGTTGGCAACCCCGCACGACTCACGCTTTGGCGATTCCAGACAGGTTATCGCCCAGAGGCCCGAAGTTTTCCATCGACAGCCCGAGCTCACGCAACTCGTTGATGAACGGCACGCTGTCCTTGGCCGGAAAATTGTTAAAGCTGATGATGACGTTTGCCTTGAGGTTTGCAAAGCAGGCGTCGGCGCGTGGGCACGGGATGGGGCAACGCGTGAGAATCGGATCGAACGGTTGAGGGCCCGCCGCCCAAGCCGAAGGAGAAGGAGAAGCCGCCAAGGGGCTGGTCTTCCATCAAAATGTTTGTGGCATGTATCCCGTTTCAAGCTAGAAAAGAAACAGGAACCGCGCCCGACAGAGACGTGATCGACAGCGGTAAATACCCTTACCGCACCAATTTTCGGCGTCGATGGTTTCGGCGTCGCTTAAACTTGGGGTTTCCTCGACGCTGCGTGTATGTGGGTGCCTGTATCGCGGGCTGCTGTTCTCTCTCGCCGAGAAGACATGCACAACGCCAAACGAAACACTGCACAAAAACGAGGGCAAATCGAGCAGGATTGCAGCTAGAGTACCTTCCGAATGCTAACTATTTACCCCATTCAGTAGGCTAGACCGTGTGCTGAAAATCAGACCGAAGATGTTCAAAACTGGTACGACACCCTGCAGATAGACAACTCAAAGACAGCCATCCAGATGCCGAACGACATGCCTTCAGGTCCCCACACCTTTCTCCGCCTGGCCACGTCCACCACCTCCGGGTAGCAGTTCAGCAGGACGTGCACCTTGGCGCCCAGGGAGTGGCCCACCCCGAAGAGGGGGATGCGGCGCATGGCCGTCCGCCCGTACAGCGCCTCCACGTCGCGGTACGCCACCCGAAAGTCGCGAGCGACGTCGCACGCCAGCTGGTCGTGGTTGAACTCGTTCAGCCGCACGCGGGTCGCCACCACCAGGAAGCCTTTGCGTGGTTGGTAAGGCAGGTGCGCAGGGCGGAGCCGGGCGGGGCCGGGCGGGCAGAGAAAGGCTGAAGCGAGGAAACAAGAGGGCCTATGACGACTTTGTGTGTGTGGACAACCCACCAAAATTGTCCTCTACAACGGCGGGGTGGGGTGGTGACGTAGGTGCCGGTCGTTGAGTGTTGCCGTGCTTCGGCCAGAGCTGCTGCGTCGCAGTGAACCAAGATACATACAGGTGACACAGGCTGCTACAATTAGCGAAAGAAAAGTACCCCCCGGCAGACGAACGGGAGACAAACGACGCCGGCCTGAATGCAAGAGGCCCGAAGTACATAGAGCGGCACAAAAATGAACCACCCGACCCCTGCAACCACCAACCAACCCAACGAGCGAACGAACGCGCGAGGACCGCACCTGCATCTACCAACCCCTCGAGCAGCGCCCCGTACGCGTTCCTCGGGAACACCCCCACCCCTTGCCCCCCGACGAAGTGCACCACCCCCAGAGGATAGTCCACGTCCCTCGGCACCAACACGTCCGCGTTGCCTATCTCCTCCCAGTCCCGCCCCGACCTCGATGCTCCCCCCGCCGCGGTCGCCGGTCGGTAAGCTGGCTCATCGCCCGTATCGCTGAACCTTCCGTAGTCACCGCTATCGCGGTGCGCCCCGGCGATGGTCGGGGACGCGGGATGCCGTCGTCTTCTGCGCGACCGCTGCAGGACCGGGGCAGCAACATCCCGGCGGTGGTTGCTGTTGTGTGCGGCGGGGCTGTCGAGGCGGGTGTGATGGGCCTTGCTGCTGAACGCGAAGCCTGCGTGGGTGGTGGGAAGTGTCGGAGGGAGCGGGGTCGACGAGGATAACACTACGAAAACATGATATATTTCACTCGCAGTACAGTTATTAAGTTGTCATGCGCAAAACTACGTAGCGGCGCCGGTCGACTTGCGAGGCCGTACAAATTTTTTTGTCAAGGTCCAGCGATAGACCAGTGCCGCCAAAACGTAGTTCTTCTCGCTCTCTGGGAGCCACCTTATGCCTTGTGGTGACTCTGCTCTGCGCCTTGTGATATCCGACATGACGAGTTGATAATTTGAATTTTCAAACACGTGGTTGCGGGTAAACCCCGGTGTGTGTGGGAGACGAGGGCGACCACAGAGGCATCGTCCTGGTAAGACGGCGAACAGCCACTGCGCCAGCGCACTTGCGGGGTGACGGCTTGGCAACCTTGAGTTGTGCCCCGGTTGCCGCTGGCTGCACGTGGCACTCGCTGGGCAATAGGTCGACGAGTCAGCCACACCCACACACACAGGTAAGTCATGTCTACCCACAGGCCCAAAGGTCACGCCAGGCGGCCACCAAGCAACATACCCACCTTGGCATCGGCCCAAAAGAAGGGCCAGAAGGACTATTGCACTTGTGCCCGACGCCCACGGCTGCTGGACCGGTCGTCGCTGTCGACGTCTGTGTTGCTGGGGCATGTCTTCTTCGCGATGCCTTTGAGCAGGCTGCAAGACCGACGACAGCAGCTGTACTACTGCTGCTGTCCTCAGGAAACGTGCGTTTCCACCACGTGTATTGGTATCAACTCCTACCCACTACGGTGCTCAATACCCGAGGTTTACTGCCCCAGCAGGGAGGGTGGTGAGCACTGCAGCAGCAGAGAACACTGCTGCGCTGTGCGATGGTGTACAAAGCAAGCGCTGGGGGAAACGCAGAATGGATCATCGGAGTTGTTTATCGGAGGAGGAGGCGTTTATTCAAACGCCAAAAGATAAGGGGGAAGGGGGCTCTCTCTCTCACGCGTGTCACCCGCTCTCTCCCCTCTCTGTCTCTCTGCCCTTCTATTCGCCTCTGACCTATCTATGTGCCTGTCTATGTGTCTGTCTGTCTGTCGATTGCCCCTCCCTCTGTCCGCCTCTGATCTGTCTGTCAGTCTGTCTGCAGTTGCATAGAGTAAACGAACTGGTACATTAGTAAAGGCCACGATCTTGTCCTTTGGAAGTGTACACATTGTAGTAGCAGTTGTCCAAATTCGAAGGCAACCCGAGGAGGGGCCATGACGGCGGCAGAAGTCAGGGTTCTGCACTTCCACTCAACCTTATCGCAACCACGGCTAGTACATCGGTATGTAGGTGGACAGGGAATCGAATTTGGACACGCACGCACGATTCGCTCGAAGCTCACTCATCCTCGCACCCTTGGAAAGGATGGTAAAAAATTCGGTGTGACACTACGGTCCTACCGCGATTCAGCCCCGAGACGATGCACTCTGACTACATACACATGAAGCACGCGGGGGTCGGAGGGTAATACAGACCACTGAGCCAACGGAAATCGAAGTAAAAATCGTCTGAAAGAATTGAAAGAAATAAGTTTTGATGCAAGCAGAGTACTACTACTACATACTGCCGTACAACTGCCAACCATCCAGGGTCATACAGGAGGGGGGCTTCTTTTTATTTATTTTCGTGCCACACCTTCCTCCTGAAAGAGTTAGGGCTAGGGTCTTCCGAGCGGTTTCCCAGGGACTCGGCCCTGAGACCCGGCGTCGGGGACTACGGCTTGAGGGCCGCCGAGGCCGCCACCGGCGGCTCGTCGACGGCCGTCTACACCCGGCCCTCAGGCGCAAGCCCAAGGGGGCCCCGTACGACCCGGCGCTCAGCCGTTTCCTCTTGAGGAGTAACCAGAAACGGGTATACCAGGGTAGTTTATCACCAATTTCGGGTACACTTTGAAATCAACGCGCCTGCACCCCCAGGTACCCCCAGGTAGCCGGCGGCATCTCCAGACCCTCTGGTGTAACCGATGCTGGTTACTGGTCTGTCTGGTGTACCCGCAAGTGGTCGATTTTGTACCCAGAAATGGTCATACAATCCGGGCGCCCAACGACTCCAAAACCCGCAGAAAAAACCGTGTACCGCACATACCCGCATGACACACCAGTAACGCACATACCCCACAGTAGCCACACAAGACCACCAACAACGCTTGTTGACGGGCACATTGCCTCGAAGGATACCAAATCTCCGACAGCCTCCTCCGTAGATCGCGGCGAAAAACCAATCGCCGTGCCCTGCCTTCCTGACCACACACAACACAACTCACCCACGCACCACACGGCTGTCATCATGCTGGCGTGTGGCAAACATTACAAAGACGCGTCGCCATTTGCGGGTGTTGCGCCTTCTGTGTGCCCGTTGGCTAATTTCACCAGTCAGTCTAATTTCACGTATTTGTCAACTCGTGGGCCCGGGCTCCTCTCCTAGAGGCGGTCGAACTCGCTCGATCCGCGACTTAGCTCGCTATGGTGCTCGTACATAAGGTAATGACAGAGAGACAAAACGGGCACGACCTGCCTCATGCTTCCGAGGCACAGCAGCACAGCAGCACAGCAGCAGCAGCAGAGCACGGCGGATGGTTTCGCCGCGATCTACGGAGGAGGCTGTCGGAGATTTGGTATCCTTCGAGGCAATGTGCCCGTCAACGAGCGTTGGTGGTCTTGTGTGGCTACTGTGGGGTATGTGCGGTACTGTTGTGTCGTGCGGGTATGTGCGGTACACGGTTTTTTCTGCGGGTTTTGGAGTCGTCGGGCGCCGGGATTATATGACCATTTCTGGGTACAAAATCGACCACCCCCGGGTACACTAGTAACCAATATCGGTTACACCAGAGGGTCCTACTTCCAGCAAAAGGTGTACCCGATGTTTTTTTTTTCAGAAATGGGTTCAATGGTGTTTCGGCCAATCAGCTGACAGCCTGGGCGTGCAAGCGTCTTGATTTCTAGCTATAACCCGGGTATACCCGTTTCTGGTTACTGGTCTCTTCCACGACGACGGCCTCGTCACCCCCAGCGCCCACGCCTACCGCCCGGAGTCCGCCAGGGGAGGCGGCGGCCACGGCGGATTGGCCGGCCACGCGGCGTCGCCGCCGGCGTGGTCGTGCGGGGGCAAGCGACCGGCTCCCAGACCCCCGGGCGGCCCTGGGCCAGGCACGTTCAGGCCTCCTTACAACAACGAGACCGATCCCTGCTGGTCGTCTTCTCCAGCTGCGGTGAGGTTTGGAGCTGGACGCGAGGACATGTATGTCCAGCAGTAGCGTTTCGGGGGTCCCGTGGGTGGAGGCGGAGGTGAGGGCGGCGAGGGAGGAGGCGGGCGGCCGGAGCGCGAGGCTGTACCTCCCCGAGAGGGACCGCATGGGTTCGAGAACGTTTATACGCTCGAGGCAGTTGCCCAGGCCGGGGACCCGGGGGCCTAGGTAGCAGATAGTCGTTCGTTTTATGATGTGTGTGTTTATTAGCATCGACCGCGCTAACCGGCTGACCAATGAACATACGTCAGTCTTAGTGCCGGTGAAAACACGAAACACTTCTATCTGCCATGAACTGGGACCCCGTGAGGGGGCAGCATGGGAGAGGCTTAACTATCCTCCGGATCAAAGACAGAAACGGTAGCAACAGAAGGAAACTGCACGCGTCTACCAAGCAAAGCTGTTACCTTGCACTCGAGTTCGTTTAGGAGTGCTTTCACCATTATGTCTTAATTTGTTTTTGCATCGACCAGTCCATTTGTAAAAATGTCGTCAGTCTCCATCAAAGCCAGAACAGAATGAGTCGTGTGCTACAATTGTCCGCCTTAAAAACATCCACTACGCGTAGGTTCTCCTTGACACAACTGCATTATGTCATACGACGTGTTGTTGTTGTGGATGCAGCACGGTTGAGACGCACCTCTTGGCGAACGTCACCCGCACTTATTATAACAACGAACGTTGTCATTGCTGGTGTATGTAGGGCTCACAACGACGAACGTAAACAAACGTCACAGGCGGAGCAAGTCCAACACATTACAGCTGAACGGCCATGTGGGTTACACCACCTGTCATCCAAGGACCTTCGGTCGTCCCGGCTCAAGTTATTTTTTGCCAACAATTGATGTGTAGCTGAAAGAAAGATGTGTGCGTCTTGCCATCTCATTTAATCTGAACGCCATTTTTCCACGTCTGGGCATGTTTGGACACGGAAATCAGGGGTCATACCGATGATGGAGTCCGCACAGCAGCTTTTCGTGATGCGTAGAGCCGAACAGAACATGCGTGATGATGGCCTTGCAGTACGGTTGCAGTGAGTGAGAGGACGGTGAGCCTCGAAAAGGGGGCGAGAGTTTGGCGCGGACATCTCTATGGTATGGTCCATGCACAACAATAATCTGAAATTCCCCACGCATCGGCATAACTTGGTGTGTGTGTTGTTACAAATAAATATGTTTGGCGCCGAAGAGAAAAAATTGTACCAGGTCGAGTAGTAGCTGTTCTCACGAAAATTTAGTATTCCTCCAAAAAACAAGAAAAGTTTCAGTGGCGATTGGCGAGAGGAATCATTTGCCGCATTCTTCTTTGAAAACCCTACTACAGCAGGATCTAGCACATGGTCCTCAAACCAAAAACAAAACAGTATCGGCGTGAAAAGTTCTGAAATCTGATACAAGCTGGGCCAGCCAAGATGCCTACAAAATGGTTGAAATCGATTTACACCACGATTTTCACGAGTTAGAATCTGAAATTTTGACACGTGGTCGGTGTTAGTATAACGAAGACCACGTGTCAAAATTTCAGATTCCAACTCGTAAAAATCGTGGTGTAAATAGAAAATTACTTACTGGCCTCTACACCTGGGCGCAGGGACGAAAATATATATAGGAATACACAG